GGCGTCAACCCGACCACGTCACGTCTGACGTCATTGAGGGGAGGAAAGGGGGACTAGCTGGAAGTAATAGGCCTGCAGAAAAGACCTTATGTTTAAGACCTCGACATGCGGCAGCGCGGAGAGTTCATATACCCCCACATTCACCAAAATTTCAAAGGAATGTGGGGACTCATTCCGGGAGCCAGTTCTGTCTTCAACTCTTGTTATTGAATATGATTTGACAAAAAGGCCTAACTGTTGTAAGTCGTCTTATATATAACTGTAATTCTTCACATGCTTACATGGCGGCTTAGCTGTTTGTCACATTTTCTTTCAGCTTCCAAAGCTGCTCAACCGTCTCACACAACAACACTAATATCAACCCAAACACCACGCAGGCGGCTAACACGAACTGCAACGCAGGAGTCCAAAATGCAGCGGCCTTGCGGATTTGCCGCTAGAACCGGTTCACAAAGAGGCGTCAACAGTTAAAGGGACTATCCCACCTTCGAAAAAATCCCGTTTAGGATTCGGAAATGTTACTTAGGGCACTGTGACGAATTCTGCAAGTTTTTACGCGTTTTCATTGTATACTTTTTGAAATATTGCGACTTTTGTATTTCATCGTGACGTCATTTAGATCGGATCTGTGACGTAATGAAGGATTTACTTCATGCCAATGAAGGGGGAAATTTGGCAGCAAATATATTTGCTTTCAAATATGACGCGGCTCATACAATAACAAAAGTGTCTCTGATTGGGTATTTTGTAGTTGGTGGTATGATAGTCAATGTAAGTATGTTTGACTTCCTGCATATAAAATTCAAATACTAACATCACAATTCACATAGGAAAGGAACATATTTTCACCATAACTTTTAAAAAATTTGTGTCAATTTAGAATACAATTAAAGTGAACAAGTGTGAAATTTGAAAGAAAATAACCAACATTCCTGACCTAACCTTACCTACTTTCCTAAAAAGTTTGTAATACCCTTAATACCAATCTAAAACCCCCATGCCAGATGTCTACAACATACAAACCTTTCAACCAGCCTACTACAGTACCTAACACCTCACAACCTATTCCATTCTGAACCTATTGATTGGGATTTTTGTATACTTTTATACTCATCGCATCCTAGCTTGCTATTATAGCAAACATGCAGGTATTGAAAGAAATGTTTTGTTTTTCCTTCTTAGCTGTTGAAATTTCTTGAATGCCAACACAACACAACACACCATGCGCACATGACAGAGGTCTCCGTCACTGCGGAGGGAAGATCGCAATGCTGCTTGCAGGCTGTTGACAGAAAGTGATCAGTAAGTTATGACCCTATGCATAATGCTACAATTATTTCTTTTGTATATAGGGAGTTGGTCAGAGATTGAACATGTCTCAGCATCATATATTTGAATGCTGATAATTATGTATACGAGCATTGACCAATCAATTGAAACTATAAAAGTAGATAAGTGCTTAACAAAATGGATTGGTGAAGATTAGATTGCCTATATAAAGCATGCAATGTTGACTTCATAACATACTGCATAAAAATGTAGTCTGTTCCATATTATGTTTGCGCCTATGGTCAAAGCTGCTTCTTCAATTTGCTTCTTCGTTCAATCTAGGGATGTAGCCAAGGGAGTGGCCACGGCTGTCATGGTCTACCCCAAAGGCGAGAAATTAAATAGAATAAAATAAAGATAAATAAAAACAGCTGTACCATACCCCCAAAAATAGTGGGCCAAATCCGAGTTTTCCTTTTTGGAGGAAAGATCTTGATAAAGATATCTTGATAAAGATATCTATGATCGCACTTAGCGAGCAAGGATCACAACAAGGCCGCTATACACAGTGACCCTCGTTAGCTGTATTTTGGCGCTATACACCTCACTAAAGAACCCGCCTCGGAGCGAAAACTACTTCACAAGGAAATGTACTCCTGCATGCCGCGCCTGAAATATGTCATTGAGTCCACTAGATGATCGTCGAGTCATTGAGTTTACCTTAGAAGCTTGTAATCATGCAGCTACAAGCGATGCTCATTTTCATGGCCTTTAAATCACCGCCCGTTGGAATTCTACCGTACGACCTCGCCGAACACAACGGTGATTCAGCATATTGGCTATGCCGTGCGGAGCCGTGTGGTATCACCCCTCCCCCTGCCCCCTCCCCGCCAGACGATACTCAAGGTCACGGGCGGGGAGGGACGAGGGCGGAGGGGCGGGTCACAACAGAGGCTCGCCGCCACCCGTGTTTGGTCACGTAGATGACGGAAAACTAGCCAGACGAGGAACTAATCGGGAAGGAGATGGGGGTGAGTGAAACCAACGACGTGCTAATAGGTTCGCCACGGAGCCAAGTGGCCAGTCTCAGCCGGAGAATGGGGATCAACGCTGAACTCTATTCATGATTTGTTTATCGAAAGTCCGGGCCGGAAGAGAAGCACACCACCCGTTGTCGTTCCATTCCGTTCCCTCCAGTCCCATCTCACAGTGACAGTGATGCAAATGGGGTTCACGAGTGGCCATAAATACCAAAAAGTCAAGTTTACCAAACCGAGTAAATCGCTATATGGCTAGTCAAAGAAATGTTTGGCGCATCTGAAATCACATAGTTTTCATATTTTTGTCAAAACCGGCCTCGTGTATGATTGTTAGAAGTCGTGACATTTTCTATGTCGTAAAATGACTGTCAGATACTCGCAACTTCAAACGCCGCTAGCGTGCGTTCATTTCATATAAATGACAAAAATTATACATGGCAATGATTTCTGAAGCCTGCTGCTTCTCATGCCGGGTCACAAAAAGCCCCATCTTTTTTAGTTTGGCGGTGATCTAGTCATTTGTCATCATGTTGCAAGCGCAGTTTTTTACTAAGAAATATTTGCTTTCGTTTCACCTACAGCAGTTTACACAGTTTGTGCCCCTTAGTGCATCATACAATATCATTCCCTAACCATTTCTGAGTCACACCGTGAAAAATTAAGGCGCTAGCACAGGGCAGACCGGCGCTATTGAAGTTTTTGTACGGCGCGGTCGGGTGTCGCGGTCGGGGCGGATTGCTTTCATCGCGGATCGCAATTTCGACAGACGTTTAACTTTGAACTGCTATAAGTAGGTCAAATATTGACCTTAAGTCAAAAGTAATATGCTCACTCGCGAGATCTTGTCAAGAGCAATCCGTTGGTTTTTGTCACGAGGCGCTAGGACACTTTGTTTAGGAACAGCAGAGGGATGCACCGACGAACCCCCGCTGAGGCCGTCCGCCCGCGGCGCGGTCGCCCGGGCTGCCAACCGCGCCGCAGCACCCGACCGCAACGGACGAAAACTTTAGTAGCGCCGGTCAGCCCTGTGCTAGCGCCTTCATTCTTTCACAGTGCGGCTCAGAAATGATTAGGGAATGCTATGGTATGGTGCACTAACGGGCACACACTGTGTAAACTGCTCTAGGTGAAACGAAAGCAAATATTTCTTAGTAAAAAACTGCGATTGGAACATGATGACAAATAGTTAGATCAACGCCAAACCAAAAGAGATACGGCTATTTGTGACACTGCATTAGAAGCAGCAGACCTTGGGGATTATTGCCATGTATAATTTTTGTCATTTGTATGAAATGGACGCACGCTAACGGCGTTTGAAGTTGCGAGTATCTGACAGTCATTTTACGACATAGAAAATGTTACAACTTCTGACAATCATACACGAGGCCGGTTTTGACAAAAACATGAAAATCATGTTTTTTTCAGACACCCCAAACATTTGCCTGACTGGCCATATTACGATTTATTCGATTAGGTGAACTTGTAATTTGGGCCTTTTCGGTATTTATGGCCACTCGTGAACCCCATTTGCATCACTGTGCATCTATCGCTCCCACCTGATGTTGTTAATCGTTCTGCGTCGACAAATCCAAACGGGAGCAGGACATTGCGGTATCAGCGTTCTCACATTGGGCGAGGCGCCGAAAAACGGGCCAGGTCAGTGCCTCTTTTGCGGCGCTTACCATTAGCCACATACGCCACCGTCCACCGTCTACCATCTACCGTCCACCGTCCACAATCCACCGTCCACCGACCACCGGCGTGGCCGGTCCTACAAAGCACGTCATTCTTGCAGGATCATGCGTAGCAGACCGATGAAATCGCAAGCAGGGGAGGGGATTAGCCGAAACAACCCGCTTCGCCACGCGGGAACTCGGTACACAAAGAATTCAGTCGCCCCCTCCCCCTCCCCTCCCCCACGTCCGGCAGCGCAAGGCCAGCTCACTACGCAGCGCGCGACGTTCGTTTTTTGGCGCCACAACGGGGCCAACTTCAACTCACAACTGACAAGACGCCAGGCCGAGGGACGAGTGACGCCGGGTTCTAAGTAAGCCATGGGATGTGCTATTGGATGAAAAGGGTGTCTTGCTGTTGGAAGAGATGTGTCATGGATGTGTCTTGTCTCTTGAGGGATCGCAAAATTGTTGGGAGTTTTCACGAATTGCCTTTTGGGCGAATGGAAGATCGGCAGGAGTGGTTAAGTGTGCGGAGAAACAACTAGAAAGCGTTACTCAAATATTTTGTCAACTAGCATGTCGCAGGCTATAAATACTATACAGTCCCCTGCTCCGTTATGTGTCAACGTGCGCCGGCCAACGGGTTACTGATCAGCAGAGTGATCTATAAATAATCCGGCACGGTAGACCGCGCATCTTATGGGAAGGCATGATCGCTGGGCTGAGGAAGGGGAGGGTGGAAGAAGTGGGCACCCGTCGCCGACAAACCAGAAACTCCCAGTTATCAGGCCGGGGAGAAATTGTAAAAATACCTCGCAGGGGGTAGGTAGGTAAGGCGAAAGCATATAGAGAGACGGGAGACCAATAGAAGAAGCGAAAAGAGAAGAGAAGGGGTGCGATTTTCGAGTGACAGTAACCTAAGCTATAAGTGACAGTAACGGTTATACCACTGTGACGTGACGGTCACGCGAAACCCTCATCCCTCCCGACAGGGGGGGGGGGGGGGGCTGCTTACCTTGGTCGCCGGCGGGGCCAACGAACGACCTTGGCTGGGGGCCAGCCACGACGAAACACGCTCGATAGCAGGGAGCACCGGTGGAGACGCGGCGAGATGACAGCTGGGCACACCGAACGCGGCGCGGTGCGAGACCGGTCACAGGTCAGAGGGGGAGCACACCACGCGTCACGGGTCACGGGTCACGGCCACGAGTTACGGGTCACACGAGTCACAGGTCAGCAGACCACCGGTCCCAGGTCACTAAAGCACAGGCCACCGGTCAGTGAGAGCACGATTACCTGTCACCAGGACCAAACCTCCGTCAGTTGTCCCACTAGCTTGGACAAGAAGTCACTTTCACTGGAATGGTCTGTCGGCTGAGCGCGCACTCAAAGCACCGCCACTCCGAGAGAGCAGGTTCCACCGAGGTAGGTCGGTTTCCCTGAGTGCACAGTAAGCGTACAGCCGACGTACAGCGGCAGTGGACGCGCTACAGCAGGACAGAGCTGTGTCAACTGTCCCCACTGGCCGCTCCGCACCCCACCTCACCATCGACGCGCCAAAACTGCCGTCGCGTCGGGACCCGCCCCCAGCCGCCAGCAGTCGGCGCGCGCTCCGACCGAAAATATTGGCGGCGTCTTATGTTCGCGAGAGGGACCGAGAGTGGTCACGGCGCGAACAAACCTAGATTCAAACGCAAAACATTGAGGGAAATCGCATATCTAATTTATTTTAAAAGACAGTACCATGACTCATCGGGCCACCATTCACCAATGCGTTCTTTTCTTATGTTTTGTGGTGAGCAGCCGCCAACAGCTGATGAGACAGCGACATTCTCATGCGTCATAAAATGCCAAATGACCATCGACCGATAATGAATGAATTGTTAATGCCTATGCACACCATGCACATTGCATAACTATGACCGGGACACACTAGTCTAGATCGTTTTCTAGGTAAACTTGGATTGCGGACACTTGGGCAGCACACCCCATGCATGATGTTGATCAAGACAGCCCATATTCAGCCCAGATTCAGCCCGGATTCAGCCCAGATTCGGGACACCTCTGATCAAGCTGAAACTCGCACACAATGTAGGCCATGACATGCCCAATCCACAGTCCAAGTCATTCGGTGGCACTCCCAGCCGTTTGACCTACAGAGGTCAGCAAAGGTCACGTGGCCCAAATTTGCACAGCAGATTGTGGCCCACCCAGTAGAGCTAGAGCGCTAAAAATGGCACCAATCGACTCGCCAGCATCTAATCTTACTTTCCAAGCACTCATTTGACCTCTCAAGGTCATGCGATGACCTAAGGTCATTTGTGGGCTATGTCGAAAATACACTTGCACAGCAGTTTTCGAGTAGATGAATTGACCGAATTCCAAATCAAAGCACATCATCAGGTAGCCCATAGGCCGTAGTAACTTTCCTTAAAAACCGTTTTCGATATGTGACCCCGTTTGACCTCGGCAGGTCAAAATGTGCAAATAAACGACACTCAATACGTCGCAGCCCGGATTCAGCCCAGATTCGGGACACCTCCGATCAAGCTGAAACTCGCACACAATGTAGGCCATGACATGCCCAATCCACAGTCCAAGTCATTCGGTGGCACTCCCAGCCGTTTGACCTACAGAAGTCAGCAAAGGTCACGTGGCCCAAATTTGCACAGCAGATTGTGGCCCACCCAGTAGAGCTAGAGCGCTAAAAATGGCACCAATCGACTCGCCAGCATCTAATCTTACTTTCCCGGCACTCATTTGACCTCTCAAGGTCATGCGATGACCTAAGGTCATTTGTGGGCTATGTCGAAAATACACTTGCACAGCAGTTTTCGAGTAGATGGATTGACCGAATTCCAAATCAAAGCACATCATCGGGTAGCCCATAGGCCGTAGTAACTTTCCTTAAAAACCGCTTTTCGATATGTGACCCCGTTTGGCCTCGGCAGGTCAAAATGTGCAAATAAACGACACTCAATATGTCGCAGCCCGGATTCAGCCCAGATTCGGGACACCTCCGATCAAGCTGAAACTCGCACACAATGTAGGCCATGACATGCCAAATCCACAGTCCAAGTCATTCGGTGGCACTCTCAGCCGTTTGACCTACAGAGGTCAGCAAAGGTCACGTGGCCCAAATTTGCACAGCAGATTGTGGCCCACCCAGTAGAGCTAGAGCGCTAAAAATGGCACCAATCGACTCGCCAGCATCTAATCTTACTTTCCCAATACTCATTTGACCTCTCAAGGTCATGCGATGACCTAAGGTCATTTGTGGGCTATGTCGAAAATACACTTGCACAGCAGTTTTCGAGTAGATGGATTGACCGAATTCCAAATCAAAGCACATCATCGGGTAGCCCATAGGCCGTAGTAACTTTCCTTAAAAACCGCTTTTCGATATGTGACCCCGTTTGGCCTCGGCAGGTCAAAATGTGCAAATAAACGACACTCAATATGTCGCAGCCCGGATTCAGCCCAGATTCGGGACACCTCCGATCAAGCTGAAACTCGCACACAATGTAGGCCATGACATGCCAAATCCACAGTCCAAGTCATTCGGTGGCACTCTCAGCCGTTTGACCTACAGAGGTCAGCAAAGGTCACGTGGCCCAAATTTGCACAGCAGATTGTGGCCCACCCAGTAGAGCTAGAGCGCTAAAAATGGCACCAATCGACTCGCCAGCATCTAATCTTACTTTCCCAATACTCATTTGACCTCTCAAGGTCATGCGATGACCTAAGGTCATTTGTGGGCTATGTCGAAAATACATTTGCACAGCAGTTTTCGAGTAGATGGATTGACCGAATTCCAAATCAAAGTACATCGGGTAGCCCATAGGCCGTAGTAACTTTCCTTAAAAACCGATTTTCGATATGTGACCCCGTTTGACCTCGGCAGGTCAAAATGTGCAAATAAACGACACTCAATACGTCGCAGCCCGGATTCAGCCAAGATTCGGGACACCTCCGATCAAGCTGAAACTCGCACACAATGTAGGCCATGACATGCCCAATCCCCAGTCCAAGTCATTCGGTGGCACTCCCAGCCGTTTGACCTACAGAGGTCAGCAAAGGTCACGTGGCCCAAATTTGCACAGCAGATTGTGGCCCACCCAGTAGAGCTAGAGCGCTAAAAATGGCACCAATCGACTCGCCAGCATCTAATCTTACTTTCCCAGCACTCATTTGACCTCTCAAGGTCATGCGATGACCTAAGGTCATTTGTGGGCTATGTCGAAAATACACTTGCACAGCAGTTTTCGAGTAGATGGATTGACCGAATTCCAAATCAAAGCACATCATCAGGTAGCCCATAGGCCGTAGTAACTTTCCTTAAAAAACCGTTTTCGATATGTGACCCCGTTTGACCTCGGCAGGTCAAAATGTGCAAATAAACGACACTCAATACGTCGCAGCCCGGATTCAGCCCAGATTCGGGACACCTCCGATCAAGCTGAAACTCGCACACAATGTAGGCCATGACATGCCCAATCCACAGTCCAAGTCATTCGGTGGCACTCCCAGCCGTTTGACCTACAGAAGTCAGCAAAGGTCACGTGGCCCAAATTTGCACAGCAGATTGTGGCCCACCCAGTAGAGCTAGAACGCTAAAAATGGCACCAATCGACTCGCCAGCATCAAATCTTACTTTCCCGGCACTCATTTGACCTCTCAAGGTCATGCGATGACCTAAGGTCATTTGTGGGCTATGTCGAAAATACACTTGCACAGCAGTTTTCGAGTAGATGGATTGACCGAATTCCAAATCAAAGCACATCATCGGGTAGCCCATAGGCCGTAGTAACTTTCTTTAAAAACCGCTTTTCGATATGTGACCCCGTTTGACCTCGGCAGGTCAAAATGTGCAAAAAACGACACTCAATACGTCGCAGCCCGGGTTCAGCCCAGATTCGGGACACCTCCGATCAAGCTGAAACTCGCACACAATGTAGGCCATGACAAGCCCAATCCACAGTCCAAGTCATTCGGTGGCACTCCCAGCCGTTTGACCTACAGAGGTCAGCAAAGGTCACGTGGCCCAAATTTGCACAGCAGATTGTGGCCCACCCAGTAGAGCTAGAGCGCTAAAAATGGCACCAATCGACTCGCCAGCATCTAATCTTACTTTCCCAATACTCATTTGACCTCTCTCAAGGTCATGCGATGACCTAAGGTCATTTGTGGGCTATGTCGAAAATACACTTGCACAGCAGTTTTCGAGTAGATGAATTGACCGAATTCCAAATCAAAGCACATCATCAGGTAGCCCATAGGCCGTAGTAACTTTCCTTAAAAACCGTTTTCGATATGTGACCCCGTTTGACCTCGGCAGGTCAAAATGTGCAAATAAACGACACTCAATACGTCGCAGCCCGGATTCAGCCCCGATTCGGGACACCTCCGATCAAGCTGAAACTCGCACACAATGTAGGCCATGACATGCCCAATCCACAGTCCAAGTCATTCGGTGGCACTCCCAGCCGTTTGACCTACAGAAGTCAGCAAAGGTCAAGTGGCCCAAATTTGCACAGCAGATTGTGGCCCACCCAGTAGAGCTAGAGCGCTAAAAATGGCACCAATCGACTCGCCAGCATCTAATCTTACTTTCCCAATAGGCTCATTTGACCTCTCAAGGTCATGCGATGACCTAAGGTCATTTGTGGGGTATGTCGAAAATACACTTGCACAGCAGTTTTCGAGTAGATGGATTGACCGAATTCCAAATCAAAGCATATCATCGGGTAGCCCATTGGCCGTAGTAACTTTCCTTAAAAACCGTTTTCGATATGTGACCCCGTTTGACCTCGGCAGGTCAAAATGTGCAAATAAACGACACTCAATACGACGCAGCCCGGATTCAGCCCAGATTCGGGACACCTCCGATCAAGCTGAAACTCGCACACAATGTAGGCCATGACATGCCCAATCCACAGTCCAAGTCATTCGGTGGCACTCCCAGCCGTTTGACCTTCAGAGGTCAGCAAAGGTCACGTGGCCCAAATTTGCACAGCAGATTGTGGCCCACCCAGTAGAGCTAGAGCGCTAAAAATGGCACCAATCGACTCGCCAGCATCTAATCTTACTTTCCCAATAGGCTCATTTGACCTCTCAAGGTCATGCGATGACCTAAGGTCATTTGTGGGGTATGTCGAAAATACACTTGCACAGCAGTTTTCGAGTAGATGGATTGACCGAATTCCAAATCAAAGCATATCATCGGGTAGCCCATAGGCCGTAGTAACTTTCCTTAAAAACCGTTTTCGATATGTGACCCCGTTTGACCTCGGCAGGTCAAAATGTGCAAATAAACGACACTCAATACGACGCAGCCCGGATTCAGCCCAGATTCGGGACACCTCTGATCAAGCTAAAACTCGCACACAATGTAGGCCATGACATGCCCAATCCACAGTCCAAGTCATTCGGTGGCACTCTCAGCCGTTTGACCTACAGAGGTCAGCAAAGGTCACGTGGCCCAAATTTGCACAGCAGATTGTGGCCCACCCAGTAGAGCTAGAGCGCTAAAAATGGCACCAATCGACTCGCCAGCATCTAATCTTA